ATTTTACGGAAGTGAGCGAAGGAAACAGCAAAGCAATAAGTTATTGAACAACTTTTAAAAAAAGTTTGTTTGACATTTTGTCTTATTTGAGTGATGCGAGCGGGGCGTCAAGAAAGGACGGCATAGTAAAATTTACCTGGATAGAAGATTCTATGTTTATAAAGCTTGAAATTTTACCCTTAACTGTCGTTCCATATTTCTTTAGGCAAATATAATTAATAAAAAGCTATTTACTGTCTAGTACTAAGATTTTATTCCTATCAATTGCACTGTGAAATTCGGTCTTCGATACTGACGTATGAAATAAGTTAATATAACTGTAACAGAGAAACTTAGCGAAGCATTTCTGGATTTTGTGAGGTGTTTCAAGGACAACTAAAAACTGTAAAGTAAAGATGAGTCAATGGCAAAAAACCAAGGTCTGGAAATAAAAATAGCCCGATTAAAAAGGAGAATCATTTTTGTGCAAAAATTAATTTCAGCTATAATTTCAACAACGGGAGATTGAAGTAACCACTACCACTGTAAGACTGTTTCTTTCGGTAGTACAGCACAGCATAAAATGGAGGAAAATTATTTAGAAAGTTCCAGTTTCTTTTTGTAAATTTTTTCACCGTCTCAAAAAAGTTTGCTATTTGGACACATTATTGAAAAAAGCAAACTACCATATTAGAAACGTCTTGATGCGCTTCATAGAATCTTTCACTCTCTCTGCCTCTCCCTCCATACTCTTTCGCGTAATCGACACGTGCTATTTGATGTCATCATTAATTTATCAAAAAACGTCGATTCAAATGAGTTGACTAAATGTAGTGGGCAACGCAATAAAAATTCAATGATTTCAAAAGGTACTTTTGATCTGAAACAAGTTTTTTTTTAGTTTTTAAAGCTAAGTTTGCCCAGTTTCTGACGTCGTTCTAATGACATCATAGAGGGTTAAGGAATGGCTTTTTTTAATCGAAAGCAGAACGAAAAGAATGGCAACAGTGGCGGCAATGGTTACAACCCCCGATAAATCACTATCGAGTAGAGAATCTTTATCGCTACAGTTTTAACAAAAACGAGTTGCTCAATAACAAACAGTTTAAAGTTCTCTTCTTTTCACACCATTAGTTTTATTAAAAAAAACACTAGGATATTACCGTTAACGCAATCACCTTCGTCTTTCCACACCAGAAAGTCGATAGGTGCAGAGTTTAGTGTTATTAATTTGTCAGCAGTACTACGATGACGTCTCAAATAGTTACTTGTTACTTATTTCTAGAGTACGAGCATTACATGCCCAAGTAAAGCAAGAATTTTTTGAGGTGATTTTTTAAGTAAACTGGAAACTGGTCTTAATGACTTCTACTCTGCCTAATCCATCCTTCTTTTGTCATTCACCTGCAGCATTTTCTAAATTGTCTAAATCTGCTAAGCAAAACCTTTCAAGGAACCACTGTTCAGATAATTTTTGCTTGTATACACATTTCTCTTTCCCTTCCTGAATTTTTTGCAGCTTTTCTACAGTCTCCTTATCACCTCTTTCTTTGTAAACGCTTGCCAAGGGAGGCAAAAAAGAAAAGTGAGAACAACTTTGAGAGTTTCCTCGACAACTCCTTCGTAATTTTTGCTGTATCGGGTCGGTGAGACAGAAATGTTAAAAGAGCCTGGAACAGATGATTTTTTTCTTCTTAACAAACTTTCATAAAGAAAATGATGCTTCAAATTTGTAAAACAATTGAGTGAGTGCTTGCAGAGTCGTTAAGTTTAAGCTTTTTCCTGACTACCTGTTTTCCACTTCTCATTAGTGTATAAACTTCGCCATTATTATCTATAATAAGGCTTTTTTGCATTTTTATCAGAAAAGATTATTTCACAAATGGCAGTTTTCTGCACAGAACATTGAAGAATTTTTGGACAAATATTGTTTTCTAAAGTTTAAGAAAACTAAAGTTGCGAAAGTTAGCTAAATCAAAGGCATTACTTCGGTACAGTCAATAAACCAGAAAAATCTCATTTACTGCAAATCGCGGTAGACCTTAAGCTTCTGGCAAAATTTGAGTCTATGACTAGCACTCTACCGAGGTATTAAGATTTTCTGTGTAATACTCTCTTGATTAAATTTTTATTTATCAATTATAAGAGGTTTATGCATTTTCCACAAAAAATGCGGTAATTTATTTTTATTTCTCTTCGCTCACTCTTAAGCATATTCATACACAGAAAACAGCTCAAATCTGCATTATTATTCAGTCATCTATACATTTCTATGATTGACAGTATAATATTATCTGAACTATGAATATTCGAATTATAAAAGGATATCAGTGCACAAAAACATTGATGTCCATACAAATTTTGTGACACATGACGTTATTTTAGTATTTCCAACCACTGTAAAGTAACTCTTTGAATTTTGATGTACTATTACATCCTATTATAACAGCAGCATAGAATATTTCCTTTCTTACTTTTCTACCCTTTAAAAGAACTTCTTTTTCGGTCGCATTTACTATTTACCTTACTACTAACGTCTAAACCGTATAAATATGATTTTGTCACTGTCGCTGCCTCTATGCCTATACCGAGATACTCAAATCGACCATGAATTGACAGGTAAACTAACAAGTGACTTAGTCACTAACAAATTAGTTTTCTTTGCTTCTTATATTGCTTAAAATATCAGTTTATTCCTTTACGCTTATACCTGTATCTACTAAAATTCAAAGACCTGCTAATAATTCCTCCTTCTAAAGATAAATGCTTGAACGGTCATTGCATCAGAAAAATTTATTCATAACTTCTTTCATTTGCTTTAGTTCCTTCTCGTAAATAATCGCTTTTTAAAAGATGAATAAATTTTCATTTTCAATTTTATTTTCAACAATTTATATTGATCTGCTATATACATTTATTAAGCGTTTTGACACAGTAAAAAAGAAGTTGAATACTACTCATAAAAAATAAATTAAAAAAAATGATTCTTGTTTCTGATTGTTTTTAGCATTTAAAATGCTCTATTTATAGAACATTAAAAAAAAATCTGCGTATTTTCTTTCGTATTTTCACACCAGTAATTACTGAACCAAACAGCATTAATTTAATGATTTGCAAACACTGTTACGGTTGTTTCTGATCTTTTTAAAAAAGCAGCGAAAAAAGAAAAAAAAGATAGGTAAGGCAGAAAAATATACTCCTAGAATGAGCGTATGAATCGGTCGCATTTATTGGGAGCATTCCGATGGACTGAATTTTTCATTGACACCACTTTCTCAGCACAAATTCTCCTAGGCACTTCCAGCCGGTAGTAGATGAAGCCGTAGACCAGCGGCAAAAACGTCAACATTATCTGCATGATTTGAGGCTAATTCATTGTTATAATAACAGTGATAGCTTTGCAGTCTTTTCCGCTTTCTTTAAGCAGCGTTCTGAACAGTAATAAGATTACTGTATTGAACTGAATCTTTGAGTACCTAACTAATTCTTCGTACACTTTTTTCTCTCTACTTAATCTTTTCGAAAGTATAAATTGTCCTGAGACGGCAAAAATAAAATGTTTTTTCCCTGTTTAGAACAATTTTAACATTACTCAGGCACTTGAATCACTGTAGTCATTTAATTTTGCCACTAAAATGGCTGATTTAAATTAAACTGATTCTTTAACCAAAACCATATTATTGGAAACGGAACCCATTGTTGAGCGATTAGTTCCGCCCGGTTGTGACAGTGTTCAGTTACGTGCAAGAAGAAATTTAAATGCTGTTTTTTTTTTTTTTTTAATTTTTTTGCAAACAACAAACCATCATTTGGTAAGTGATAATGAAAAGTCAAATGACCTGGTTGTAAAGGTCTGATGAGACCAATATTTCTGATGATTCCTGGGTACTACTACAGCTATCAGTAACACTTGGCAGGTTTAAACAAACAAATATTTACCACACTAAGTGTGTGCGTATAGCATACTATTCGTTGCCTAGTTGTTTCATCGTAGAAAGTGCAGTTAGAATGGAACTTTGGATGAAAGACTATCGATCGCATTTTGTTGCTTTACTTTTATTTCTACACTCCAAAGATCCTGTTCTCTCTTTCGGTTTTTCAAAGTTTTAAAATGACGAAAAAAAAAGCAAAAAGAGAATAGCAAAAAAATTGTTTCCCGCATTTTGTTTCACTGCTTTCATTTCATAATTTTCAATCATTCTAATTAATGAATGATGAGGCTGAAGTTTTTAATGCGTGTCAAATAAGATTTGTTGAGAACTACCAGTGTTGCTACAATCGTTGATGTGTAGTATAATGTACTAAAATGATGTGCGTTTGCCCCGAACTATGACAATATTGTTAATATTTGCTGTTTTGCAGCGCTTCATACATCAGTCTCATTTCCAAACTGTAATAAAAATATACAACCTTTATTTGCAGAAGTGTTTTAAGGTTCTATATATCTAACCTTAAAATTTTCTTCGTCCAAAAAAGTTTATTGCCCATTTTTTTTTTAACGAAATCGTACTTGACTTTTCGCAAAAAATGTTTCGTCAAACTTTTCTGCTGCAGCATTTTGTTGGAGAACGTTTTCTTTTGTACAGTTGGATACTTGTTAGTCTTTGACAGTCACAAAAGTGCACAATCTTTAAATGTGCCCATTGGCAACGCGGCAGTGACGAGAATTGTTTAAAAAAGTGTTGGAGAGAAAGTTTGATTGACCGTATTCAATGCTCTACTTATTTCAAGTTTTCGGTTCTGCGTGGGTTTACAACAGTACCTCCTAAATTTTTAGAATATGTATATTTTTTGTCAAATTACCATCTCGTATTTAGGCATAGTTAAAGGTGTTACCAGTATCTCACGCACTACTTTGATTTAAGGAAATTTGTTCATCATTTAAGCTTTCAGGAGGTTTGGTCGTTTCGTATATTGGAGAAGAAATGCACTTTTACAACATAATGAAAGTGATAATAGTCTTGTTTTCAGGCCAAAACACTCCTTGGCAATTTTTCGGAAAACATTGCGAATTTTGATCAATGGACGAAGGGTTAGTGTTGTTGTGTGATTTTCAAAGTCATTTTTTAACTTGAGTATGGCCTGCTTTTTTTTGAAGATTAAACCTTACAGTTTGATACATACCTCTTTTTCTACTTACTTTATTGATGTTTGTCATTACTTCAGTCAACGACTATGCTAAAAATTCTTGCCTTTTTTTATTTATACATCAGTTACCGTTTCCGTGTTATCAAAAAAGTTTTGTGGTGAAAGGCAACTTGAATTTTTTGAAAAAGTGGAATAATTTTGTATTTTGCACTCATAGTCATCTCCATCAGAGTTAACATTGTTGTTTAGCAAACATATAAAAATTTAATTAAAATTTTGCGCCAAGATTATTTTTTCTAGGATGGAAACTGCAAGTAAAGCATCAGTGATATATAACGCATCAGGCAAAGGATCGCCATCGTCAGACCCAGAAGCACAACAACCACAACAGCAACTGCTACAGCTATGTGTTGTTTGCGGCGATGTCAGTGATGGACCGCATTTTGGAGCTGTAGCATGCCGAGCCTGCGCAGCTTTCTTTAGGCGCACAGTTTCGTTGAAGCTCGAATATACTTGTCGAGCTAATTCAAACTGTCAGATAGACAAGTGTGGGTTTGTGATCATTGTTTCTTGCTCCAAAATGAGTCGCAAAAGAGGGTCGTATTTCTAGCAACCGAAGAATAAAGTTTTAAATGAATGGAGACATAGAAGGGTATAAATGGGTATAAACTTTGTTTTAACATATCAAATTCAGTTGCACGGTGTATTTTGACTCTTGTATTTTAGCTGCTCGAAATATGTGTCGTTCGTGTCGATATCAAAAAT